CAAGCGCAATGGATTATCAGCCCATTGGCAGATCTATGGGGTGGGAGGTGGGCAGTTAAAAGTGCTGTGCTGGGTATTGGAGCCAGTGGTATCTGCCACATTCACTCCTGGACTCTGCCTGGGCCTCTCCCTTCAGGGGCCTTCTGCTAGAGCCCAGATCCTCACAGGCACCTAACTCCCCCTGACTTGGGTGGCAAGGACACTGACCTGTCTCCTAACCCCTTCTCCGCAGCGCTTGTCCCTCCTGAGCCACCTGCCCTGAAGTCTTTGAGGAAACAGAGCCTTGAGCTAGACATTTTGGCAAATGGATTAAAAACCATGGGGGAGGGCAAGGCAAAGGAATCCCAAACCCACCACACAGCAAACAGCATAGGGGCAGGCCATGTGGAACAACGAGCAGGGGTCAGGAGGGCAGTTTTTCCCACCCATGTATTCTGGGAGGTTTTTTTTTTTTAAATCTCCTTCCGCTGAAGCATCAGTGATGGCCATGGCTGGAGATGGGAAATTGGCTGGGGTGTGCCAGGGCTCTGAGATGGCAACATTCATTCTCTCACTCAGGGGCTGGGCTGGCTGGTTTTGGTTCAGATGCTCAGGGTCTAACTGATTGCCTCATGGGGGAGAAAAGAATTTTCCCCAAAGTCAGATTGATATGGACCTCGGGGGTTTTCCACCTTCCTCTATAGCATGTGGGTGCGGGTCACTTGCCAGGATTATCTGAGTCTCTCTCACTTAATCGTTTTCCTGCCAGTGGTATCTAGTTGGCATTTCCTCAATGTCACCATCCAGTGATTTCCTCTATGTCTAGTTGGCAGCTGGTATCAAGCAGAGTGCCCCAGGGGGTCTGTGCTGGGGCCGGTTTTGTTCAATATCTTCCTTAATGATCTAGAGGATGGCGTGGACTGCACCCTCAGCAAGTTTGCAGATGACACTAAACTGGGAGGAGTGGTAGATACGCTGGAGGGTAGGGATAGGATACAGAGCGACCTACACAAATTAGAGGATTGGGCCAAAAGAAATCTGATGAGGTTCAACAAGGACAAGTGCAGAGTCCTGCACTTAGGAACGAAGAGTCCCAATCACTGCTACAGACTAGGGACCGAATGGCTAGGCAGCAGTTCTGTAGAAAAGGACCTAGGGGTTACAGTGGACGAGAAGCTGGATATGAGTCAACAGTGTGCCCTTGTTGCCAAGAAGGCTAACGGCATTTTGCGCTGTATAAGTAAGGGCATTGCCAGCAGATCGAGGGACGTGATCATTCCCCTCTATTCGACATTGGTGAGGCCTCATCTGGAGTACTGTGTCCAGTTTTGGGCCCCACACTACAAGACGGATGTGGAAAAATTGGAAAGAGTCCAGCGGAGGGCAACAAAAATTATTAGGGGGCTGGAGCACATGACTTATGAGGAGAGGCTGAGGGAACTGGGTTTGTTTAGTCTGCAGAAGAGAAGAATGAGGGGGGATTTGATAGCTGTTTTCAACTACCTGGTGGTGATGAAGCACTGGAATGGGTTACCTAGGGCGGTGGTGGAATCTCCTTCCTTAGAGGTTTTTAAGGTCAGGCTTGACAAAGCCCTGGCTGGGATGATTTAGTTGGGGATTGGTCCTGTTTTGAGCAGGGGGTTGGACTAGATGACCTCCTGAGGTCCCTTCCATATTCTATGATTCAATGACCGATTAGCTAAGTGGCAGTTCTGCAGAAAAGGACCTGGGGGTTACAGTGGACGAGAAGCTGGATATGAGTCAACACTGAGCCCTTGTTGCCAAGAAGGCTAATGGCATGTTGGACTGCATTAGTACAAGCATTGCCAGCAGATCAAGGGAAGTGATTATTCGCACTGGTGAGATCACATCTGGAATACTGCATCCTGTTTTTGGCCCCCCCACTACAGAAAGGATGTGGACAAATTGGAGAGTGTTCATCGGAGGGCAACGAAAATGATTAGGGGGGTAGGGCACATGACTTATGAGGAGAGGCTGAGGGAATTGGGCTTATTTAGTCTTATTTAGTCTGCAGAAGAGAAGAGTGAGGGGGGATTTGATAGCAGCCTTTAACTACCTGAAGGGGGGTTCCAAAGAGGATGGAGCTGGCTGTTCTCAGTGGTGGTAGATGACAGAACAAGGAGCAATGGTCTCAAGTTGCAGTGTGGGAGGTCTAGATTGGATATTAGGAAACACCATTTCACTAGGAGGGTGGTGAAGCACTGGAATGGGTTACCTAGGGAGGTGGTGGAATCTCCATCCTTAGAGGTTTTTAAGCCTGGCTTGACAAAGCCCTGGCTGGGATGATTTAGTTGGGGATTGGTCCTGCTTTGAGCAGGGCTTTGGAGTAGATGACCTCCTGAGGTCTCTTCCATCCCTAATTTTCTATGATTCTATCATTCAGTGAGGGGGCCTCGGGCATGGGTGCACCTCAGTCCCTCCCAATCTCTCCCATGGCATGTAATAGTATAGGCTCCTGAGGGGCTATAATACTTTGGTCGCATTTCAGGTGTTGGGTTTAGTGTGCAAGTGCTTGGTGGGGCTGGTGGCCTGTGAGGTACAAGAGGTCAGATGAGATGAGCTGGTAGTCCCTCGGGAGGATTCAGGGAAGAAGCTAGTTTACGGCAAGATGAGAACCTGATGTCCTCTCTTGGAACCATTAGAGTGGGATACTCGGGTCCAGGAGGCCAGGATCGACCTTGAGCCTTAACGTACCTGTCTGTTGAGACATTCCTGCATTCCCAGGCCAGCAAGTGGCTTGTCACACTGAAGGGGCTGCCTGTCCGCAGCACGTCAGCCAGCTCATTATTTTTTAATGTATTTATCTGTGCGCACGTTGGCAGCCACAGCTCTCAGAATTGGCTGTGGCTGTTCATGTGCACCTCAGTTCAACTCTTTGTTCGGGGAAGCCTGTGAATTATTAAATCAGCTGCATTTAGCACACAGCCAGATGGAATTGCTGTGTCGTTTTAAAGCAGCAGCATGTGGCATTAGGGCCAGGAGAGGTTTGGCATCCTGAGTTCCACGACATTTGTCACAGCAGAACGAGGGCCTTTAGTCCTGCTACGTGAGAGCAGGGTGGGGTACTTGCAATTTTGCTCCCATGTTTTATGGCCAGTGTACAAGTTTATAGCTTATTTGGCACCTTCCCTAGGAGGAAAAGAGCTGGTGGGGGTGGGGGGAGGCAGTACCCTACTGCAAAGCTTCCCACACAGCTTCTTTCTGTAGCGAACTCCCCATTAGAGCCTTTGGAGGACAGGTACATCTCACTGCAGCCAGAGGTGGGTAGACCTACGCACACTAGCTTTGAGCAAGCTTGTGTCTAAAATAGCAGCGTGGCCATGGTGGTGCGAGGGGCTAGCCCCCTGGGTCCATGCCTCGGCTCCCAGGTGGGCCTGTAGGCAGAACAGCTAGCCCAGCTCACTGCTTGCAATACCGTGGCTACTAGGATATTTTTAGCACACTAAATCTATCAAAGCTGTCACGGGTATGTCTGCCCGAGCTGGCAGTTACACCTCCAGCTCCAGCCCAGACAAACCCAAAGAGACAGAGGGAGGGATACGTGTTCCCCATCCAACTCTTGCCCCAGCACCTGTGAAATGCAGCAGCTCTGTTGCTCTGTCACTGCCAGGGCCTGTTGTGGGACAGCAGCATCTCCCAGCTAAAAAAATCGTCTCCCTGCCTTGTCCGAGAAATAGTTCCCACTGAAATCAACTAATAGGCGCTGCCATAATAGTGATGCAAAGAGCTTCCATCCAATGGGATTGAGAGTCTCCACCATGGCACTTTCTTCACAGGGGACACATGACATGAGCGATCCGGGCTTCAGACTTGGGTGTGCTGCGTGGTAACACACGATGCCCATGCCCAGCTCACGTCAATAGCTGAATGTGAGGTCCACTGGGAGCTGCCCAGTGACTGAGCCTATTAAGAATCCAGTGCTACAAACCATTGAGTAGGCATGGAAGAGTCGTTGCATTTCAGAGCATTCTATTGATTTAACCATTTCAGTCTCTGGCCTAATTAGACTCAAGCTAGTGCAGGCAAGGAGTTACCTACAGCCATCACATGGGAAACAATTACTAATTAATTATTCCCAGGGAGCGCACCAAAGGTGTCCCCTCCCTCTTAGCAATGGCAGTGAAACTGGGCCAGTGAACATTTTCCACCTGCCACAGCCTCTTGTCTCTGGTAACTGAAAAGTTCCTCCTCCATTTGCACTGCTTAGAGCTGAGACTGAAGTCCAGCCTGCTGGCTTCATTTAGGAAAAGTGGTGCCCCAGGGGGCTGGGGACAGATCATCTGTGGGCAGGCTGGAGATAAATACACCACTAAGACCTGCCATTCAAAGGCAGCCCAGGCCGTTCCGTAATGTGTCCACCGAGTTACTGGCCATGCAGGTTGTGCATGATAAGCAGATCAGTGTAGTAATGAGAACATGATGCACAGCTAAAGGTTTTTTTGTATGTGTGTGTGTGTGTGAGAGAGAGAGAAAGAGAGAGAGAACACATTCCATCAATGCTGCTGGCAGTCTATGTGTGCCATGAGAGAAAGAAAGAACCACTTGGTCTGCTTCAAAATGGGCGTCTGGGTGAACTAATTATCTGCTGTCCCCTTTGGAGACGTAAGCTCAGTTGCAGATTTCGGTCCCATGTGATTTGAGTATGGTGCTTTTGTCTTAGAGGATATTTGTCTGCTAACTCCCCTGCCCAACTTAGCACACTTGGCAATCTCTGCCCAGACCAAAGCAGGGGACACTACAAGTCTGGATGGAAGTGCCTTGGCAGAAATTTTGGGGGTCCTCTGTGTGGAGCAGAAGTGCCGTAGAGATGGCTTAGGGTGGATATACACAGCACCAATCTGCACTGTGCTTGCTGCCAGTCAGTATATCACTTCCATGCACACTAAAAGTAATTACCACCTGGCAGAAATTAAGCAGCGGTAACTACCCCAGCACCCAGAATACACAGGTTTACCTTAAATAACGATATCATCTTCCTTAACCTTCCTTTCCTCCATCAGTGATTGACATCAAGTTGGACAAACCACAGGATCCTCCAGCCAGTGAAGGCGGGTGTTCTTGCTAATACAGAGCGCAGGATTGGTCAGCTTCATTTGATACCACACGCTTGTTGTGTTGCTTCCTATTGGTTAGCTTCCTAAAGAAACAAATTGAGTTATCAGATGGGGGAGGATTTTTTTTCTCTCTGTCTCTGGGGATGGGTGGGTGGGAATGTTCAGATCACGTCACTCTTAACAGCTGTTACTGAAACTTACTATTTTTTTGGTTTGGTTGTAATATATTGTACTTTATTAAAATTGCCAAAAACAGTTCAGCATTTAAAAAGGAAAGTTTAAATCATGTGTATACAACTTTTTGCCAGATGAAAAGTAGTGACTTTGGTTTTTTTGGAAGGAGGTTGGTCTTTTGTTTTTGTATATTTGTAAAGTTACAGAAAAACTCCCCAGAATACTACAGTCTGGTTAGTTTCAGCATCCGACATAGGACATCGCTAGTAGAAAACTAGTCCCTGATTGGTTAAACAAAACATTAACTGTACAGTAAAAGATTTGACAGTAGAACAAATCGTGCTGCAAATATACAAAATAAGTGTGTGATGTGATAGCTCTAACTATATCTCCATATCTAGATTTAGAGCAGGGGTGGGAAAACTACGGCCCGCGGGCCAGATCTGGCCCATGAGCCATTTTAAGTCGGTCCGCAAGCCGTACCACGCAGCTTGGCCCTGCTCCGGCCAGGGCGCTGAGTCAGGGGCCGGATCACATGGCTCGGCCCCACTCCGGCGCGCCAGCTGGGGTGCTGGGTCGGGGCCGCATCTCGCGGCTCGTCTCCACTCTGGCCGGGGCGCTGGGTCGGGGACACCACCACACGGCTCAGCCCTGCTCCAGTACTCCAGCCGGGGCACAGGGTCGGGGCTGCACCACGTGGTTTGGCCCTGCTGTGGCCGGGGCCTGCACCACACGGCTCCCGGAAGCCATGGCCCCCTCCAGTGCTCCAATTGGAACTGCAGAGGCGGTGCCTGTGGATGGGGCAGCCTTCAGAGCCACCTGGCAGCACCTCTGCGTAGGAGCCAGAGAAGGGACATGCCGCTGCTTCCAGGAGCCGCTTGAGGTAAGCGCAGCTCGGAGCCTGCACCTTTGAGCCTTTCCCCACGCCTCAACCCCCTCCCCCTCCCCCAGCCCCGATCCCCCTCCCGGTCTCCAAACCCCTCAGTCCCAGCCCAGAGCACCCTCCTACACCCCAAACTCCTCATCCCCGGCCCCACTCCAGAGCCTGCACCCCCTCCCACACCCCAACCCCAATTCTGTGAGCATTCATGGCCCGCCATACAATTTCTATTCCCTGATGTGGCCTTCGGGCCAAAAAGTTTTCCCACCCTGATTTAGAGAGAAATAAACAGAGGGGGAAATGTATGATAGGGAGCGATGTAATGCACTTCTTATCTCATGTTTTAGGGGTGACTACCCAACTCCCAGATGGTGAGACAGAGTGTTCAATACGTGCAAGTCTCACTGTCATGCATTACACAGTATTATACCATCCCAGAGGGGGTATGTGCAGAACTACTGATATAGCAATCAATGTTTTGAAGAATTTTTAGTTGCTAATGTTGTATGGCATAGTTCTTGAAGTATAATGTACTGGTGTTTTTTTCCCCTCATGGGTATAGTATAAGAGACACACACATGCTATAGTGACTATATGGAAAAACTACATTACTATCACTTAAAAAGTATGGTTGGCCCATGGAATTGCATTCACCATGGTTAACAGTGGCCACCATTTTGCATTCGCCCTTGAATAGGAGTAAGTGCCTGCAAACAGTTGGTATCCGTATAAAAAAAATCCTGTTCCTGTTGGAAAGCTCCTGTTTGAGCCTGAGCAATATTCAGATATGTTTCACTTTCAATGGGGATTGAGCGCTAAGTGTTCACCCACTCTTCCAGCTCCAAAATGGTGGCCAAAGTTTGGCCACTCCTGTAGATCAGGAGCAAAATCATGTAGATCACTGCAAAATCATAAAGTTTGTCCAGTGGGGCCACCACACTTTTCAACTGACTGGCCCATACATGATGGTTGCTCTTTATTACAGAACATTTTCTGTATGAGTAAAGAAAAGCAGGTGGCTGATGAATCGGGGAGGGTGGGGGGAGGTCTTGGCTTCTAAAAAGGGAAGACTGTTTTGGTAACATGGATGTAATTTTTGTATTGTGTACACACATTTTACATATATATATAAAGCATCCATTCGCTCACACACAGGCGCATGCACACACATACGTACACACCCACCCACGCCGTATAGAGTTTTTGTTTCACCCACTGTTGTTATGACATGCAACTGCTTTAGACAACAGTTGTGGAAAATGAAATGTGTGGGAATAAGAAGTTCTTGTTATTGTCAAATAACTTGTGATTTGTCATCTCATCAATAAAATAACACATAGATGTGCGTTAAGCGAGAAAAAAATGCACATGGAAACAGCTCCACATCCACTACATCTGTATATGGGAGTTGTGCAGATACACACTCAGTGTAAACACACACACACACACACACAGAGAGAACAATGGTGGTTGTCGAAAGATTGCCTGTTACCTCACAGCAATTTAAACCAATTCAGTGTCACTCTGGTTGCAGTGTATTGTCTTATCTTTAGTACAGTACTTGGCCTGAGTGACAAGATACTGTGTGAACTTAATGAATGTACTGATTTTTGCTTTATGAAGTAGCTTTCCTCGTGCAATATTACTGTAGAAAAATAAACCTCCCCCCCCTACCCACACACACAGATGCGCACACACAATCTGGAGAACCTTTAGCCTTTTTCTTTTCCCCGCATCAGTAGCCTTAGAGAAGTGATTGCCAAGCTTCAGTATAAGAGTCGCTTGTCTCAATGTGACCTGCAGCCAGACCTGAATATGAGGTATTTAGAATTTCCTTTACCTCCTCCCTCGTTGCATTAGTAATCAGTTCTGCTTGGCCATAAGGCAGTTTTCCGACTCTCTCTGCTCCCCCTCTTTCCCCCTGGTCAAATCACTTGCATAGGCTCTCATGTCATGTAGACTTTAATTTTTTCCAGCCTCATACTGTGTTCCATTCATTGTGTTAATAACCAAATCTCTTTATTTGCTACATTGTCATCACTGTACTTTCCACTCCTGTTTGTCTCCCGTGCTTGTCTGGAATGCAGTGTGGTTAAATTTCATTCAGAAGACTGGAACGGAACCTTGACTTAGCCCTTTGCTGGGGGTGATGCTATCTGAGCTGACTTGTCATTGGATGCACAAGAGCCAGTCATGTGGAACCATACAAGGGCAGAAGGACATGGACCCTATGGTATGGAAAATCCCTGGGGCATAACTGATTTAAACAGTTACCAGTAAGACTCCCTCCAATTTTACTTCTCTAGCATACTTCATGGGAACACCAGAGAGCACTTTGCAAATGATAAAACCAGATGAAATGGAAAAAAGTTAGAGAAAAATCAATGCTAACCAAATAATTTTAAAAGGTTGTCTAAGTCTAACTAGCGACTTGCTATTCATCTCAGTGTCAAGAGGTGAAAGCGTGCTGGAGAGGTTATTGTGCTTTGACATATTTTTAGTATAACTAATGTAGACTTCTGAAGAAAGGCCAGGGCAGTGATGGCTCCGAGAATATTAGCTTTGGAAGCAGGAGAAATGGAATCACCCTCAGAAGAAGCAACTGGGGTGGATAGATGAGCACTGCGTTGGAGGAACCCATCAAGAACAGTTCTTCCTTCTCAGTCTTCATTCAGAGCCGTAGCATCGGAATGAAAACTATGTCAAGAAAATGAGCAGCTGCCAGTTCCACAGCAGTGAGTGTTAGCAATAGGCACAATGGGTTGCTGTCTCCTGCAGGGCTGCTGGGTGTCTATGTGGCACTAGGGATACTCTAACAAAAAACAGGAGACCTACTGCGAGGCCTGTCCTTCCTGCAGCGCTCAGACAGACACCTCATCCCCATCTCAGGGATGAAGGAGAATGTGGAGCCAATGTGAGGGAGTCGGAACAGCCCCTACCGGAGAAGGACAGGCCCCTAATGGATCCCAGAAGGGAAAGGAAAAACAGAACAGACTCTCCACTCCAGAAGACAGGAAAAAACTACTGGATCCCCCTTCTCCCAGAGGAGAAAACAGGCCCCTGGCATCTCAAAGGGGAGCAATATGAGAGAGAAAAGAATGATGGCGGAAGCTGAGAACACCGGGAAAGAATGGGAAAGGGGAAAGAAGAGCTGAGAGGGAGAGAAAGGGTTAAGAAAGAAGGGAGAGAGAAAAAGAAACTGAGATCAATGTACCAGGAAGGAATGTGAGAAAATATAGATGGGGAAGATAGGGAGATGACTAATAAGGAGGTGAAGACAGGCTGAATCAGATAGAAGAGAAGCCTGGAGAGATGCCCTGGGTGCATTAGAAATGCCAGAGAGAGCTAGTTGGATGGAGGAGAGGAAAATGGGCAGAGAAAAAAGATAATTGAAATGTTCTCAATGCACAAACAAACTAGACTGAAGAAAAGAGACAGCACAGAGGGGGAAGAAGAAGGAAGGATAGATTTCAATTCAATTGAAAAGTTTAATGTCAAATGTTACAATAAGATACACATAAATGTTAGTTTTTAGGTATATGGGGACATGGTAGTTTAGGGGCTTGGGAACCATGTTTGGAGATGGGATGTGTGAGTGGGGAGCATGGGGTAGGGGTCTAGCATTCATGTGCATGGGGCTAGAGATTAATCCTAGGGGAAGTGCCTTCCCAGTGGTGATATTGGACTGGGTGATGTTTATACCCACTTTTGCAATCATCTTATGGGAAATATGCAAATAAGTTTGGAGGCCCAATGGTTTTGATTGATACGAACCTCATTCTGTCTCCATCTGTGCCAGAACTAGATAGCTTTTGTGTACATCTGACACCAGAGACCATTGGGGGCCATCACCAGTAACTTAGTGACCCAAAGGTGCATGTAAATCTAGACTAAAGCAGAAACCAAACTCTCCCCCGGGACATCTTTGAAACCATACATGTAACGATAGAAGAGCAGGGGCCCACGGTAACAAACTGCAGGTGTTCAGGCGGATAAGACTGAAGCTAGGCGAGTCCATACCAGATAAACTAATTAATGCAATGTTCCAAACATTGTGTCCCACATAAGAG